CATCACCTTTCAACATCTCGTGGAGTCAATGCCAAGAAGAATCGCCACAGTATTAAAGGCAAAAGGTGGCTCAATGAAGTACTGATGGGGTGGCCATAATACTCTGGCCACTCAGTGTATATATGTATAAGTGTGTATACACACACACACACACACACACACACACACACACACACACATACTGTATATCCCCATGGCTGTCTAGTTGTCTCAGTGCACGTATTAAAAATGCCATCTTTCTGTCAGAGGTCAGAGATGCCACAGTTGTTTCCAAATATCCAGGTGTTCCGGTGTCCAGTTCTGTGCCGTGGGCCTAATTGTCATCCATCCCCACGTGTGGGACACCTTTGCTAACATCAACAGCCCTGGCCCAGGATGGGGGGGTGGCAGGCGAGTGGCCGCGCCTCTTCAAGGCCGTTTATGGGCGGGCTTTGCCTTCGCCATAGCATTGCTCAACAGAAGTAAACACTTCGGTCCCCAGCGACTGAGACGAAACCAACCGGGCAGGAGGAGAGCCAGCAGGGCGTTCTGGGAAGAAGAGGTACCAGGAATCAGGATACACCCACGCGTGGGTCCCCCCATCTCTTCTCCTGTCTTCCCAGCCCAAGGTGGGGGCCCTCCCCTCCTCCGGACATGTCCTCCCTGCAGAGGAAGGACGAGGGGCCCTGGGCCAGGGAGTGTCCCTTCCCGCTCTGCGACCAGGAACGCACCAGCACAGCTTGGTTGAAGCAGCCGGCGGTCTGGGAGGTGAGGCCAAGGGTGTCCAGCGCCTGCCGAGCGAAGTCTTCGGAACTCAGTAACAGTGTCCGGTACTTTATGTCTTTGGTCATACTTGACTCGATCATGAAGGGGCTCACCGTCTGCAGGAAGCAAGGAGCTAAGGAAGGGGAGAACTCCCATCTCACCCTGGCTTAGCTCCCAGGCTCTTTGAAAATCCCAGAGTCCCGCCCTAGCTCAGTGGATAGAGCCTCTGCCTGTAGCCTGAAGGGTCTCAGGTGGCCGGCTCGATCCCCAGTAGGGGGCGTGCAGGAGGCAGCCGATCAATGATTCTTTCTCATCATTGATGTTTCTATCTCTCTCCCTCTTCCTTCCTCTCTGAAATCAATAAAAATATATGAAATAAAAATAAAATAAATGCAAGTCTCTACTTTAAAAATTTTTTTAAAATAAACACAAATAAATAAAAACATATTTTTATAAAAAAGGAAAAAAGAAAATCCCAGAGTCCCACCCACTTGCTGCTCTCCCACTGGGGACTCAGCCAGCCC